TCTGGATGCGCTGGACGGCCATTTCGTCCCAGCACATAATTTCTCAGAATTGAGCATATATGGTCCCATATTAAGGACTTGAACCCAGAACCCTACGTTATGCGCACGAACACTTAACCTCTAAACCATTGAGCCCACAGTCATTGATGCTAATATCTAATTTCAATTAATCTATAATGTTGCACAACTCTTCATCCATTGTCTGAGGTAGATAACTGTTTCACACCCGACACGGATTGAATACCACTGACCATAGGTTCTCACCAGAACTCCAGGAATTATATCGTGAAGCTAGTCAATAGTGAACAAATGGTTGTTATCAATATGGGGAGTCGTGGAAATTATAGTACATAGATAGACTGGTGATTTCAACTGTGAAAATACAATATAATTATTCAACCGGTTTCGCAAAATTCTAACTTGGAACAGTTATCACAAAATTGAACAGATAAGCTTTAAAATGGTTATAAGTGAATAAGTGCCCATGGTTCCAATATTAACACCTAAATAGTTCACAATTTTCTTTCAGGATTTTCAAAATAAAGCAAAGAAGAAATTGATAAAAGAATATATATGATGTACTTAGGATAAAGCAATCATTAACTCCCAAATAATATTTAGAATTTTGTTGGAAGTATATATGGATATATTATTAAGAGATTTGTAGAAACTGTCCAATTTTAAAAGTATTTTCCCTCAAGAACTGATATTAATTGAAGAATCGTATATAGACAATTAGCAATAAACCCATAACCTTCAGGCCTTGTCAACCGATTGCATTTAAAAATGAAATCTATGGGATTTTAGCTCAATGGTCTTAGAGTTTGAGCTAATAGTGAGTCTTACAAAGCTTGGGCTGGAAGCTATGTAGGGGTAGTATATATATAGACAATAACTGATTTATTTATTGCACATTTTAATTTCCAAAATGAGTTACCACAATCAACTTGGTTTTTATTTGTTTTAAATAGAAGTATTATATAAGGATAATAATAAATAAATAAATTCACCTACATATTGCACAGAAATACACTATAAATATAATTACGTAAATAAATAAATAAAACCATGACTACACACAGGTGTACGCATATATAAAGTGAGAGACAAATGGAGATAAGAAATAATTCTTAGTACAATAACATTTCATTCTAATACACCCATCATATTCTCACAGATCAAATATCCTTGTGTCATACATCCAGGTTTAACATCGTCCATTTCTAGAATAGTTAAATAAAAAGTAAATAAAAACAAACTAACAAATAATCAGAAGAAGAGTAGAAAACGAAAGTCTACCAAACACAATAATATTATTGAAATAGAAACCAAGTAACTGACTAGAATGAATTCTTATAAAAATGGCAAACATTTAGAAGGGAATGCATAATTTAATTTAACACTGAATAGAAAGACGAAATACCCACATGTAGCAACTAAATCATTGAATCTTTCTCTATCATTCCTAATTCTTTTTTTTCTTCTCTTCCATGATTTAAACACACTTCTTTTTATATTAAACATAAATGATAAAAAACAATTAGTCAGTTAATTAATAGTAGTTTAATCTAATTGCTTTTTTTCTTTTAAAAATAATAATTTCGAATTAATTTCATTTAATTTAGTTGCTATGACAGAATGTCTGATTTTTAGTTTTCATTTTGCTTTTTATGTGTATTTTAGATATGAAAGAAAATAAATTTATAAGTTGTATTTGTCACAGATTAATCTTTGTTGAGGTACTATTTACAAATAGAGAGCACTGAAACTTTGTTCTGTTCTGCTTTGGAACTTCACAGTTGTGCATACCCATGACCCTACTGGGGATCGAACCAAGAAGTTTCAGGTCTTGGAATGGTACATATCAAACTTTAATCACTTTGCAATCGAATATCGACTCAGTGGCATTAATCGGTAAACGTTCATCCCAAGATGTGGACGTTTTTAGGTCTGATCGCTAGTGAGTTTATGGGTGTGGGCGGATAATAAATCCCATACTACGATAAAAGACCTGTTCAAGTCTCCTCAGTTTTTTTATGGTATCCCAAATGTGATCAATCTGTGACGTATACAACCTAGAAATTTAACCTTTCTTGACAAACTGCCTCACCAAATCCAGTTACGTTTTTACTTTATTATTTACTTGTGTGTGCAGCTATGTAAAAATACATGATATGCACCAATCAAATGAATATATACTAACAAACTTTATCTTAAAAAGTCTTCATTACATGATACGTTAGTTCATATATTTACTATGTGTAAACTGTTCGTTTGGAAATAAAACAATGAAAAAAACTGCACAGATGAATTCTTCCTATTTTTTTTATATGAATGTACTAAAGGATGATAATACAATCCGTCAATTTATTAAACCATTGATGGATACATTAGTAAACTGATGACGTATTATTTAGGTAGCTTTTATGAAGATTGTATATATTTGAATATCAAAACTCGATGTCTATCTTATCCAAATATACTATTTCCTAGGCGTAAACTCACACTATATCGAACCCAGTTTCTTGAGATCTGATGAAAAGTATCATGATATGACTCAGTCATTCAACTGAAATTCTTAGTTATCCATAGTTTCCAGTTACTTTTAATACAAATATTAATTTTCATATTTCGAATACACCTAGTTAATTCTTTGTGTTCAATTAGGTTTTATACTTATCTCGCCTTTTATAAATGACTATAAAGCTGAACAGTATACAATTTATAAAAGGATAATAAGTTTACTTTGAGTTTTTCGATCAATTACCTCTTCTGACTACTGTCAATATAGCTAAAAAAGATATTTTCAATATGAAATTATAAATAATTCGATGCTGATTATTTTAAATCACAATAGTTGAAATCATGAGTCAATTGAAGCTAGAATATCATGAAAAATCTAGAAGCACTGAACAGCCGTTTCGTCCTAGTGTGCAACTCATCAGCAGTGCGAATCCATGATCACACCACTCCACCACATGACATTCGAACCAATGGTGGTCTAGCTTCAATCGACTAATGATTTCAACTATTGAAATTTTTAAAATCTCCACAAAACCCCTTCTGATATTTTAAATTAGCAAAGAATATTCTATAAAATTGCTTGTGTAAATTCGATTAGTAAGTATTACTAACAGTTAAAAGTGGACAAATAATCACAATGTATTATTCATAAATAGTAATAATAATCAAATTTAAATCATTTGAAGACAAAACAAAAGATTTCAAATAGAAATGTTAAAAATTTGTAAAAATTGAATCATAACAAAAGAAAGAAGAAACAATCAAATGAAGTGTTTGCCAATGGTAAATATATACACCAGAGTATATGTATATACATATATTGATTATGAATACAAGAATGGTACCTATTTTGAATATGAAAAGAAATGAAATTTGATTAAGATAATAAATTGAAAGAATGAAAATAGACAGCCTAAGGCTATTACAATTTGTTCAATAACTTAACTATTTAATTTTTCTTTTTTAAAAATAAAAAAAATATAGTAAATCTATTATAAAATAGTTTATTACACTTTATCTTTTATATGCATGACTTGATCTATTGCTCAGTTCATTTTATAAATAAAGACAAAATGTTCTAGTATAGTCAATAGGTATATCATAAGTGGTTACTTTTCATATTCTTCTATATAATTTTGGAGATTCAGTGGCCACTTTTCATAAAAATGTTTTAGCATAAGAGGAATTTCATATAAGATATATATATATATATATATATATATATATCACTGCAAATTATTTACGCTTATTTAAATTCAAGTAAATAATAAACTAAGAAGAACTCATTTAAAGAGGTTATTACTCAAGTGACATGTCATTTTTATGTCTAAATATATTATTTTTACATTGCTGATTCAGTTTACTGTTCAACGGATTTTATTTTTTTACTATGATGTAAAAGTGCTTATACTGAAGTTGGTTGAAATCATGGATACATATGTCAGTTGTAAAACGACCGAAAACCAGATGGTAATCTTTTATCCTAGTTTGAAACTCTTCAACAATGTACATTCACTGATACAATGTTCAAAGACATTGAATTACATGGCGTAGAATCTATCACAATGACACAAATTTATTTATTTTGTATCCCATTAAACCTTCAGTTTGAGAATGTTGTTATAATTTATATTCTGCGAATTCATTTCGTTATTTTGAATCATATTGTTTTTACTTAATCTTTTCCACTATCACAGATACTCTTAACAGTTCTACTGTCTTAGTTCTATTGCCTTTATGACTTTATCTCATCATGTTAATATGGCATGGAGACTAGAAACAATCAATAAATGTGTTGAGTTCCATGTTTCTAATCACTGACTAACTCTACATATGACTGAGGACTAAAACGTTGTCTTTACTAATAATATTTGTAACCGAACAGTCCACATATCTAACATTCAGGTGTTCTTCCAAATATTACGTAGTCACCCTTCATTACCGTCAATCATAGTTGTCTCATTCATGATATGGTTTAATTTCACCAGGTTAGATAATTCTGCATCCCGAAATTAGTCACCAATAAGGATACGATTACTATTTAGTTAGGTATTCTATATAAATTGATTTCAACCAAAAAGTGAACTAAAAAATAAACGAATAATAACTAGATTGCCAATGTAAACCAGAGTGCTTTTAAAAGCTGTTTTCTTTTAATTCAGAGCTCCTCACTATTATTGGCGACTGCTTCCTAGTTTACAGTAGCTCTTTTTCAGCTGATATCAGTATTCTTGATGCTTATCTCTAGGTATCGCTTGAGGGAAATTTCAAATATTGACTGTATGTAGTTATAATTTGACTCACTGAGGCTTTTTTAATTCAAAATTAATGAACGGGAAATTTTAACACTAATATTCTAACAACTACTTACATGTCTTATGGAATATATGTTTCAATGGATAGTTATAATTATCAATATGATTCTTTGATTTACAAGTGGAGAAATTGAATGCTGATTTTATTTATTTATTTTTAAGGTAACCTGAATAAATATCAAGACGTCTATAAATCTTAATGAATAGAAGAAATCTATCTTAATGCATTGTATTACTTCTGTGTTATCATTAAATTCACCTGAACAAATGATTGAATCTCAACAAACTACTCGAAAAAATCCATCTCCATCATCTTCTATAAAAAACTCTGAAAAACAAATTAACACATCAATCTTTGTACCATCTGTATCCTCCTCCTCCTCTTCTTCTTCGACATCTTCATGCTCATCTGTATCACCACAGTCAACTGGATTAGGACTGAACTTGACAAAGTCGTTTATGACACAAGTAAGTGAACATTCATTGAACGAAACATCTAAATCTAAAATAAACCCCATATTTCAAGATGGTGATTCAAATGATGCACAAGATATCTGTACAGCAAACAATAATTCATATATAGTACCTGGTTTTCCATCTTTTTGCCTTGGTATGTCAAATGATTCTTTGATAAATCAAATTACAAATGGTCATGCAACAAATTTATTGTCTATACCAACACCAACATTCTCATCAAGTGATCTCTGCATGAATAAATTTCCCGACAATTTAGTTCGTTCTTGGACTGAAGGTTATCCAGTTACAAATTCGTCCTTTAATACTAATACTATGATTACAAATATTGTCAATTCAACAATTAATAGTTCTCGAAATAATAACAATAATAATATAATAACTAGTATAGGTGCTAATAACACTATGCTTCTTAGATCGCATTCTACCGGTCTATCATCATTTAATGCTAATAATTCTCATGGCTTAGTTTTACCATTGTCATCATCATCATCATCGTCAGAGAATTTATCAGCATCAGGAACTTTTAATAATTATCACAATGATAAATCAAAGTCAATTTTATCAGATAATGAGGAACATTTATGTAATAATCTCTCGGTTTTAAATTCATATACTGATTCAAATAAATCTCGAAATAATTATAATAATTCCGTAGCTACTACCGTAAGTAATATCACCACGACTAATAGTAATAATAACTCTTATAGTACTTCAAGAAAAAACGATGAAGATTTTTGTGATTTATGCCAAAAACATTTTTGTAATAAATACTATTTACGTAAACACAAAACAGATGTTCATGGTATTCACACTGAACCATATTCGCATAGTCGTCGTCGTGGGAATGAAACACAAACTGTGAATAATTTAAGTCAAATAAAAAATGTCAACCCATTCCTTACTACTACTAATAATAATAACATTACGAGCAATGTAACTGGTTTTATCAATAATGCTTCATCTGATATCGACATTACTATTAAGTGTAACAATAATAATTATATATTTCCCAGTGATAATTCCAAAATAAAAGACCAAGTCAAAGGGATTGATTTTACATCAGATTTTGATAAATCCCAAATGAATGACATTCAATGTGAGTTAATGAAAACACAATCTCCAACAAAATGTGAGTTAACTAATAAATCATTATCTAACATCTATGATTATATTAAATGTGGAAGCAATCTTTCGCTGCCCAGTTATGTAAGTGAAATTACAAATGAAAAACGATGTGGAAATGATGAAATGACCCAATGGAACAAAAACTGTTCAAGTACTACTACTATAAGCACAACATGCAGTCGGAACAGTGTTAGTATTAGCTCTGGTTATGGTAGTAATGTAAACCAGTCAATAGATCTTACTGGGGATCAAAGTACCTTGAATGAAGCGAACAGTTCTTACCAGACAACCACCTTTAATAAGACTGATTCATGTACTCATAATATTATTGATAAAGATGAGTTAAATATGGGACAAAAGAGCATGATAGATCAATCGACAGTTGAGTCAAAAAACTTAAATCCTTTACTTTCAGCACAGCATTACTATATGATGGCATTAGCCGCGAATTTTTCACCACCTGCAGCTGGCTTATTCAATCCTTCCGAAGTAATGGCCAAATCAAATCTGATGCCTCCATTAAATCCTCATCTTGATATTCCTCTTTTGTCGATACCGCCTTCCCTCGATTTAAACCACGTTGCCTTACGTGAAGCTCAATGTGATCAGTGTCAAAAAGTATTTTGTAATGAATATTTTCTCCAGCTGCATCGTTTTAGTCATCAGAATAATTCAGATAAATTGACATTAAAAAATGAAAAAGAGCAGTTTGATATTCTGGAAAATTTTCCAACTGAAATGGAAGTTACTGATAGTATAAATAAGAAAGACAATACACAGCACAGCACTGAAAAACTAAGTATGGATATCGGAGACAATGACAACGGTGACTGTGAGTCACAAAAATTTAATCAAAATGAAACAAAAAAGGAAGAAATTGACTCATCTCTATTTTTCGTGAACAAGTCAAATACTAATGAAGTGAATATGAATTATCCTGAAAATTCTGAATTTCGTCTTGGTACACATTCATTAGATGCTTTTAAAAATAGTATGGTTGCAGCAAAATTAGCTGATCGTGTTACTTGTGAATTGTGTAATAAGGAATTATGCAATAAGTACTTTTTAAGAACACATAAAATAAGAGTTCATGGAATATCACCAAAAGATGTTGGTGGACCACCAATGAGAAATCCACCAATTATAGATAATTCATCATTGAATTATTCCTTAAATGATTTACAAACAATAAATTGTGTAACTAATTCTCACCAAATTAATTCTATACTGAATTTTGATGAAAATTGTAAAATAGATGCAACATTATCTGATGAAATGTTAAATTCATTTAATTCTGCATATTCTACACTTGGTTTAGTAAATCAATTTCTTCCATTAGCTTATTGGCCATTATTTACTTCAAATCATTTCATTTCTAAACAAGCTGTAAATTGTCAATTAGATAAATCACTTTTACCTAATTTAGATAATACTGTTCTATGGAATAATTTGAATAATTCCCTTACTAATAATATATACAATCATACAAATATTACCACTGGTAATAATGGTATTAAAAATTCAAACCTTACTGAAATCCCTTCTGCTATAACATCGATTTATTGTCCATTATGTGATTTACCTATTGGACCACGTTTATTTTTACCTACACATTTAAGTAGTGTTCATAAATTATCACCAACTGATCCAGATTTCTTTATGAATATGTTACGTGCCAAACCAATGTCGAAAATAGAAAAACTGAATGATCTTAAATGTTATAATCATTTATCTGCTACACAAACTAAGTCAACAAATGATAATTTTCAAGAAGAAAGTGCTGTGAACAACAATATGCATCAGCCTAATGTTAACAATCATCATGTTAACGGATGTACTTCACCATCTGGTAAAAATGAAGATCAAACAAATATAAATAATTATTGTGATAATTTAATTCTCAAAGAATTGCAATCATCTAATCAAAGTAAGTGAATATAAATTCTTTTTTTTCTTTCAACTTTTTCCCCCATTGCTTTCATTGTTTACAATAGATTTTCTTTAGAAGCATATGACTTTAGAAAAGTGTAAACTGTTCTCTTTCTTCAGATTTGATTCTTAAATGACAACACGTTATTAGAAGACCTACTTATCCTCAATAGAATCCTTAAAGAACTGAAAGTAGTATATGAATTCTGAAGATGAAACTCAAATGAGATTTTCTTTCTGATCTCTTCAAGATATCCTATCATCCTAGAAACTGTTTTCCACCTTGTTATATTCTAATGACTGATCAACTATATTACGGCTGATAATTAATGGAATTATAATTTTGCATAAACGGGGCAAATCAATAGTTTTTGGCAAAATAGAACCATAGCTTTCAGAGAAGCAAATATTAGAAGTCAGAAGTAATGAACAACTCTGTTGTAAGGAAAACTGAATACTGTTACTAAGAATGACTTAATATAGTACATGAAACTAATCAGGATAGTATGATAGTTAACTGAGCTGTACTCCTACCCCTTATATCCTAGTAAAAGACTACCTAAAGTACAAGCTTTAATAGGTTTTTTTCTTTAAAAAAGTGGACAGCTAATGAATTGAAACCAAAACATATGATTATCCTACCTAGAATGATGTTAATCACTAATTAATCTCTGATAAGTAATGTTCTATGTGGTGTACTTGGACAGTTGGCATTAATCTCCATCATAACAGCAGAAACCACTACTCTCACTGTTACTACTATAGAGGTTCATATATAGGGCAGAAGGTACTTTGTGAATTTGAGGAGTATGCAGAGTAACATGAGTGAGGACAGCTGGGAAAATGAACAAAAGAAAAAGTACTTTTATGACTCAGAATGGGCACAAAATGTCCTTACACTTAATAAGGAAAGCAACAGTCAACAATCGGCCATGATACAAGACTGATATTAAGACAATCCGGAAATTAGGACTAAAGGAAGACAGCACGAAGTTTTTATCCTACTACACTACTAATAATGTTGAAAGGAAATACTCATTCGCAGTCTATAACATAAGTGAGAAAATTCGAACCCTCATATGCAGCTTAGTATCCATTGAACAAGTTAGTGGTTCTGAACCTAGTGATATTTGGAGAGAGTTTGGGCTTAATTTTACACATTAATTCTAGGATGTAGGAAAATTCAACTAACAAGTTCCAGATAAGATTAAACTCACGTCCATTGTTAGCCACTGTTCAAAAGTACTGATGTTAATAATAGTTGTAATTAAGAATTTTGAGTTCACTTGTAATAAAATAAATTATGCATACATAATTAAACAATAAATATCAAACTTGTCTCACATAAAACAATGATTTATTGAACTTCTTTTTTGTTGAATTGGATATAAGTTTAAAAAGGTCCCTAGTATGTTTATTTATGCCTCTAATCACATCTGAGTTAGTGAGTGAGTGAATAAGTAAGTAAATGAGTGAGTGAGTATGCATAACTATTACACAGTCACAAATTTCACTGGAGAATAAATAGTATAACGAGCTCATAAATGAACTAATAAAAACCAGAAGAGAAACACAAATTTTAGCTAAATTAAAACCTTTTTAGTGATTTATTCATTTTTATACAATTTTAACTTCAAAATGGATTCTAATCACATTATTATTATTAAAAAAAACTGGATTTTTTTACTAACAAAACACTTTATTTCACAAAAATCAGAGATATAAAAACGATATAAGCAAAGATGAATAATGGCTAGCAGTGGAATCTAGGAAGCTCGTTTTGTCTTATTTAGGACTCGTCAGTTGAATGTACCTACATCTCAGAGTTGATGTTCACCCATGGACTCGAACCCAGTGCTGTCTGCTTCAAATGCCATCGCATTATCCACTTAGCTACTAAGTCCTGATAGCCACCTGCTTCTGCAATCAGAAGATACAAACAAACACTACCAAATATACAAAAAACAACAGTTTATAAACAATAATAACAAATCAAAAATTAAGTATTCCATTCAATGTTGTCAAATTTTCAAACAATATATTTGAACGTATATATATATATATATATATATATATATATATATTATGTATTTTGTGTCTTAGTTATTACATTAAATTATTTGACTGATAACTTTGACATATCTAATTCGTTTGTTTAGTATGTTAAGTATTTGAGGTTCATAACTTACAGACAAGTCAATTTCTGGCTATCTTTGTTTTCAATGACTTATTAATGTGTCATATATATACAAAGATTAACGATAAGCTATCAAAGAGAGTGAGAGAGTTGGAATAAGATGCCTGAAAATTTATTGATGACTTTGACACACTTACTGTATTTGTTTTGTTTCGTTTTTCTTGGTTTTATGAATGTATACGTGAATTTTGAATATGACAATTAAGAAATCTACTTTACTTTTCTAACAATATAATTAACAAAACTTTGATTATTATTTTTATGTTGTCATAATTTTTCAGGTTCTTTTCTTTTCTTTCTTTTTTTAAAAATTCTGCTTATCATTTAATATCCATTTGTTAATGTTCTAGTTACATTAGATTTCATTGAGGAAGAAAACTATACTTAAAATGAAATGTTTCCACCTATTAACCACTTTATCAATAGATGTATATACATATTCTGGATATAGAATTTCATTTCAAATTATATTTTATGATAGATTTATATATATAAAGTAAACAATATGTCATATAAATGACAGTCATTGACCATTGAATAATAAAATTTCACAAGGTCTCTATCATTGAACTCTTTATACTTTTTTTTAACCACATTCTAATTTTACATATGTCAAGTAAACATAATAAATTAAGTATTAGTCATGTATATATATATATATTTCTAGTAACTATTCATTATTTAATAAATAGAATCATTTTAATTTTATGTTAATGTCAGTCAAAGAATAAAGTTATTCTCGTTGATATTTTAATCAAATACAATTGTGAAAAATATTGTTCAAACTATCGATTTGTTTAACTAACAACTCATAGGCCTATTCATTGTAAGTCGATTTTGTGAACCTTAAATGATTTATGGATTAAAAACATTTACCTTTATATTTATTGTTCAAATTTACAGTGATAATATAACTTCTTGTATATCAATGATTCGTATTTAACAATAGAGAAATAGTCAATCGGTAATGGTTAAAATAAATTATTACTGTTTATTCATTAAAAGCTTACTTAATAATATAAAGGAATAAGTTGTGAAGTTGGAATTTTCTGCAAACAATAGCGCTTACTAGTGAATAATTTTGAGAGGGAATCTTGAGCTTTAGTTAAAAGCTGTGATCAGTTGAATTCAATTGTGTTAACGTTTTAGTAAATATCATAAATGGTGATTGATAACGGTTGCATAATATTGAGTTTTGACTACAGTTAGAAATGTAAATACCAAGTTATTAGTCCGAGGATTGAGCTTTCTATAAAAGGCCTGACCAAGTCATGTATGAGCAACATTGAGAAGCCTCAGACAAGGACTAAACAAATACCCCATACTCTCTAGTTTTTTGTGATTGTCTAACTAAACGCAGTCTATAGTTTAAAACTAAGATACGGGAATAAATTAATAGAACTAAACACAAAATTGTCCACATTATCTTAAAACAGAATTAAAAGTCGAATAGATCACTGAAAATTTCTAGATCGAAATCTGATTTAGCCGTTAATTGTTTAATGATTATTGTATTGAGGATGTTAAAATTCACTCATCAGGAATGTACTTTTAAACGCAAGATGGACATTCAAAAATGAAACGGATTGAATAAACATAAAATTAAATTGCTTTAATCTAAATCAGTTAGAAACAGGAATAAAAGACAAGCGATAGTAGATTAAGAAGGGTACTAGTACGTTCTTAAGGATTCCAGGCGTAACTAATGCACAAACAAAAAGTAGCATCAAATGTAACATGGTTACAGAATGATAACAGTACTGCTTATCTCATAGATGTACCGATAACATTGTGAATCTTGATGTATTGCTATTCTTTCCTCTTTTAATATTGAAACACTACTTACATTTAAATGATTAGTTTATCAAATACAAAATATCAGAAGGGGTCTTGTGGAGATCTCAGTAATTTCAATGGTTGAAATTATGAATCGATTGAAGCTAGACCACCATAGAAAATCTGAAAGTATTGGACGGCCGTTTCGTCCTATTTTGGGACTCATCAACAGTATGCATACACGATCCCAAAGCCCATGAGATTCAAACTCAGGACCTATCAGTCTCGTGTGTGAACGCCTAACCAGTAGACCATTTAGCTGGCCGGCATCCAACGATGTTTATGTTTAACTTCAACCATTCCACGAAATTGCTCCACCGTATACCATTATCTTCAGTGAGCTGATATCTCACAACAGACACAATTGAACTCCACTGGTCACGGTTTCTCACTAGAACTCCAGGAAATGCCTGTTGAATTTAGTCACTAGTGAGCAGATGATTATTACTATCGGAAGGGGGTTTTGTGGAGATTTTAGTAATTTCACTAGTTGGAATCATGAGTCATTTGAAGCTAGACCACCATTGGTTCGAATGTCATGTGGTGGAGTGGTGTGATCATGGATTCGCACTGCTGATGAGTTGCATACTAAGACGAAACGGCTGTTCAGTGCTTCTAGGTTTTTCATGATATTCTAGCTTCAATTGACTCATGATTTCAACTAATGAAAATACAAAATAATCAAAATATATTTTATCATTAAATGACGATAAATATGAAAATGAATATCGTTAGACTGAAAGTCCTCTACCATAAAAAAACAACAAACAAACAGAAAAAATAACCCACTTTTAACGTCTTATTATTTGCTTCATTATTTATCAATCTCATTAGTATTTCTACTCACTTCATTCTAGTTAGTGGCTTGAATATTTCTTCAGTTCTTTCTTTTAAAAAAAATATTTATTTCTGATTAAGTGTTGTGTATTGTTGGTTTATTATTATTATTATTGTCCTATTCACTC